TGAACCGCTTGCTTCAGATTCCTCATTTCAAAGTTGTTCCGGCTATATCAGATTTCAGAGCTCTGACTTCTAGCATATCGGTCTAGAAGCGGGTGATGTAGGCCTGCAGGCTCTCGTTTTCTCCCTGCTTGAGGTCGAGTAGGGTGTCTGAGCCTTTCCTCTACTTTTGTACATTTGAAAAATGTGAAACGAAAAGCCTTTTAAACTCATAGTAATTTGGGATGGTTTTGGTCAGCAGATCGTTGAACCTCCTTCAGGATGTTTAAGAAGAGACGACATGTTATGGGGTTGCCAATCTGGAGTAGATCGACCTATGACTCGAACGACGCTATGTGGTCGATCAGGTTGGTCCTTCCTTTGTAAGAATCCAAGCGAGATATCCTTAGCTTGGGTAAGGGTGTCGCCTCTTTGATTAGGCAAGTAAAAGCCCCTCTTGCGAATGCCAGACAGGCAGTCACATCCACACTTCCCAACTCTTGTTCGTATGTGCAGACGCAATGATGGCAGTGTGTTGGGACTCCCCTTGGCCCACCGTCCACAGGTTGCTGATCTGGTCGTCTAGAATAGACGGGTTCCCTAGTGGAGGCCTTTGGGGACGGTCCCCCTGACGTTCCACTTCCAAATGAGGCGTCAGTCGTTCCTCTGGGTGATCATTACCCGAAGAACCTCAAATTGCTCCATCATGAGGGTCATTTGGGCTTGTAGGCCCTAAACTTGTGCATGGACGTCCAGTTGCGCAACGTCTCTATTGGGTTTCATGTGTGCTATCTCTCTTTGAAAATTTTCTCCTTCGTAGTCTCACTTCACATCTGTGGCAAACTCCACACTCATCACACCACATTTCTGGATGTTGAATCTGAACTTGTCTTTTTGTGAGCACATCTCGAGAGCCGGGATCGAAAGAGGCAAGAGAAAGAGAAATAGAGAGAGCGCACACGATAATTTCCTCAGGAGAAGGCCAGAGAGAGTCTCTGTATTTTCTCTTGAAACCGCATGTTTAAAGGGGTCCAATCAGTACAATTAAGAAAGATGGGGACCGTTATGATAAGTGCCCTTACTAGCATTAATGCATATAATTTGAAATAATGATCGTCATAATATTGGTAGAGAATAACGATTTACAATGACATATTAGTTTAAGTGAATTTTGTTGACCGTAATCGGTTGGTTTGAAAAAGTCATTTGTTTTGTTGAGAGATCAAATCGATAAGCTCTGCGAGACCAGTTGCTCTGGTAGGTCGATCAATTGATGGGTCGATTTATTTCGTCGGGTGAGTCATGACCCAGTTGCTATTTGGCTCAAGTCTTACAGGACATGTGTCTCGTATGTCTAGTCAGTTCTTCACCTCGGCCGGATTACCTCTCTCATAATGTCTGGGGCGGATCTTATAACTGCCTATGTGTGGTATCCGACGAGGCTCACTGCCACGATAATTTGTGTCTCTCTCGACGAATCGTAGCGCTACCGAGTGAAGAACCATCTCTGAAGCTTTGACTTATCCCAGGTTTAGAGACACGACTTCTCATGCTTGACATTGAATTATTGGTCGATCACTTACCTCGGAGGGAAGCTTTATATTTTCGGTCGTTCGTTCTCTTTGAGATTCATGCAGGTAGTTATTGTGCATACAATTATCCCATCAAAAGAAATACTATTTTAAATTCTAAAAAGTGAAATACACCATTTCATGCATAGATAAGATGACATACATATGTAAAAATTAAAGTATATGTGTTAGATATGTAAATACATAAGACTTAAGAAGTATGCATGCAAATCTTCCAAAACAAAAAAAATACTTGCCCCAAGTTTAGAGGAGCTTCATTAATATATATAATTAATGTGAAATCAAATATACATCTTTCATGATATAAAATTATATAAAATTTCTAATATATGGAAGATAAAAGTCACACCCACCTCTCTCTGTTACACGACTGAGCTTATCCCCTAAGCCAGAAATATCAAGCTCAACGCAGCGGAACATCGTATGATGTCTTCTCAAGTTTATTGAGAGCACAGAACCAATACAGCACAACTTAAATAAAATAATAATAAAAAACCTTAAATCCAGGCAAAATGCTGTGGAAGAACTCATAAAGCACGTTAAATTTAACCAATTGAATCAATTAATAAATATATATAAGAAAATCACCTCTCACAAAGTACGACTGCTCCATGCACTGCAACTCCAAAATTATGGTCACCTGATCTTCATTCGGGAAGAAAGAAGTGGAAGAACTCGCAAGCTTTGGAGTTTACATGGCATTCATGCCAGCAAGTTCTCGCAGTTTTTCACATACTAAAAACGTAATTGTAGTTTGGGGACCTATTCTTGCAAAGGTGGCAAATGCCCTGCGTTACATTGGCAAAACGAAACAGTTAGTGCTCAGTTGCTCCAGCATGAGTAAAATAGAATAGGGGAGTATCCAATCGGGTATGCAGGACGCGTTTGCGCCGGATCCAAAATTGATCAGACTCGGATTGTTTGACATGAACCCGACTCGAAATATTAAATGGGTCAGAAAGTATAATCCGAACCCGACTCGCCTTCAACCCGTTGACCCACACCCGTTTAGCATAAAGCATAGCAATTATTCATGTCTGATTCCGGTCAAATCTGAGTCAAATTCAAGTTGGCAAATCATTTTCGGGCCGACAGTTCAGTTTCAGATAACCAGGTCAACCCAAACACATTTTTTTCTAATCAAGTTTGGGTCAAGTTGATGTGTAGGGTCAATTTTTCACACCCCTTTTACAAATAGAAAATTCTTAAATTTAGAGAAAATAAAAATCATAAGTTCAATGATACGATTTGCATGTATTTAAGAAATTAGAAATTAAGGAAAAAAAGCTCTATCCGATTACTGCCCAGTGATTTGAAAATGTATTCATAAAGCAGCAACTTCTAATAATTAGAGAAATAAATGCCCCAAAATTGAGAACAAACAGAGCATAACAGATGCAGTAAAGGCAGCAAGAAAAGTAATGGTCTAAAATCTGGAGATTCAGGCCCCGTTTGGGGCAGCTTATAAGTGCAGGCGGCGTCTTTGAAAACGCCGTCTCGCCGTTTGTTTTGCAAATGCCGTCTCGTTGTTTGTTTCACAAATATTAACATATTATCATAAACGATGTTTTAAAATTTGTAAAAGATGCGGACCGTGGGACGACCCCTGCGGTCCGCGTTTTCGATCGAAAAATTTACTCCCGTGACCCTGCCCTCATATGCATCCGGTCTTGGCATCCCGTGACCCTGCTCTCATACGCATCCGCCCTTGTCATTTCTCCATCGCATTTCGCATGCCCTAACGATCCTCCTCTAAAGATCCGGTGTGCTTTCCCTCTTCTTCTTCGGCATCTTCACTCCTTTGCATTTCTCTCAACAAGTATAACTATTCCTTTGCATGTCTCGTCTTCCTTCTTCGTCATTTGCATTCGTTCCAGAAATGCATTTGAATCTCTTTTTCTTTCCTGTAGATCTGCAAAGCGGCAAATAAGAAATGTTGATGATGATGTTTTTTTTCGGTTGCGAAAGATGATGGATTTGAACCCCTTAGATGTGAAATTACTAGATCTTACTCAGTTCTTGTGATAATTGGGTGGCATTGCTCTTTTTGCGGTTGAAGTAGTGACCATGAGAAATCTTTAGTATTGTTCTTTTTCATGTGGTTTTCTCATAGCTTTTTATTTCCGGACAGCTTTACATACATACCACGCAATTCATATGGAATAGAACAGCTTTACATACATACCACGCAATTCATATGGAATAGACAATATTGTAAGCGTGCTCGTTATCTATAATATTGCAAGGATGCTTTTTATTTCTCCCATTTGTCTAAACACATTATTGCTCATCATGTTTGGCTTGAGAGGAACTCGTATATTTCAAGAATATCGTTTCTCTATATGAATAATATTAGATTTGTTAACAAGTATTTGAGTAAGAGATAGAAGTTCAAAAATTCTATACCTCTTCTCATTGTCAACTACTCGTTGTAACATATAACCTTATTGAATTGTTTACTGATCTTTTATTTTTTATTTTTTTTTTTATTTTGTGGGTTTCTAAAATCTACACCATATTAAGTTTTTACTATTATTCCGCCTATTTATTTATTGATGCTCACATTGGCTTGGGGAATAGTTATCCTATGTTTTTTTTTTTTTTTTTTTTTTTGGGGTTTTTTTTTCCCTTATGTAGCGAACATTTTTTACAATCAATATGTTGTGGAATATTGGAGGAAAAAAGCTAGAAGAGCTTGCAATTTGAAATAATGATTTTTGTTTTCCCTATGAATAGAGAGCAAATTTTATTAATGCTTCTTCAATATTATTTTCGTTTATATGTCTACCACATAAATTACTTATCTTCTAGTTTGAGACATTTGTTGTCATGAAAAAAATATTTTTTTCTTGTTTATTAATCTGACAAAACTCAATCAGTAAAGCTAAAGAGGCTGGATCATTGGTCATGTGGGATAGAGATGTCACTATTATATTATGTGATCTATATTTGAGGGAGGTCGAGGTGGAAAATAAGCCCACAACGCATTTTAACAGAGAAGGATGACAAAATCATATGGTTAAATTTAAGGAAGTGACCGGAAGGGACTATGACAAGTGGGATCAATTAAAAAAATATTGAAAAATATGGAAAGAACTGAAAAGGGAATCAACGGGAATGGGTTGGGATCCAGTAAAACGTACAATTGATGCACCAGAGAATTGGCGGGCTGAAAAATTGCAGGTATATATATATTCCAGGCAGGGCCGTCAACCAAAAAATTTAAATTTATTGGCATTGATCCAGTTTTGTAGGAGAAACTGGATGACATGTTCACTGGGGTTGTCGCAACAGTAACTCATGCGTTCACACCAAATGATGTAGGGTTTGGCAGCTCAGCACAGGACATGGAATCTGTGCAGATAGGTGAGTCAGAAGAAGGTCTCAGCCAAGTCCACACAGATGTTCAATCCACTAGCTTGCCAGAGTGCCCCAGGGTAGACAAAAAGAATAAAGGAATCGCATTCATTAAGAACAACATTGATACACTTGTTGAAACTTGCAAAGCAATGTCTTTTCACTCGTAGGACAGCTCCATTGAGGAATCTCTCGAAGTCCTCAATACACATCCTAATGTTAAGGCGGACACAAACGAATATTTAAAATACGTGAAGGTGTTATGAGACCCAGCCGTAAGACAGATTTTTATGAAGTTGGAACCGCAATACCGAGTCAAATACTTGAGCTAGCTCTTTCATGGATGAATGAATGAATGTTTTAGATATTTTGTATTTTATTTCTTGTAGTTTTCTTTCATATTACTGTGATGGACACTTATCTTTTTTCCATGATTGTACTATGCTTTTATTTATTTTGTACTATGCACTAATTATATTTTCTACGATTGTACTATCTATGTTTCGCCACAATTTTCATGGTGTACTTATACTTTTTCATAGCAAATTTTTTTCTATCATTAATATATTTCTGTCATTGCTATGTATTTTTTAAAATTATCTTGTTCTCTATTGACGAAGTTTAAAAATTATCCTTGTACTTATTTTGTAGTATGGATGAAGAAGTTGACAACATCCGCAAAGTCGCACTAATCATTGTTGTACTATTACTATCTTACATCCATCGACTGAAACCCATGTATGACGTCGAGTTAAATTGGGGATAGATGGGTGGGTGAGTTATTACATGGTCATCCCACACGGTTCTTCAATATATTCCGTACGACAAAAGAAATATTTCTTGCTCTGTTTAATGAACACTGGAGCCTTCATGAGTTGCATGACTCAGCAAGAACGACGCCAAGAAAAGTCCTGGCAATAACCCTATACAACTTATCTCAGAATGAATCAATTAGAGGTGCTATGGAGCGATTTCAACATTCATCAGAAGTTATCAGCAAACATTTATGAAACGGATGGTTTACATACTTACCACTCAACTCTTATGGGTTGAGTTGTTCCAATTTATTGGATTAGGAGGCTGTGACATTTTGTTGGAAGGTTTACATACATACCACTTAATTTCCTTGCATTTACATATCGAAAACCTAAACTGTGAAAATTAAATCGCATGAAAGATGAAAGACAACATTTACATGGATATCTATGATTCAAACATCGATATGCAGTATTTACATATTTCTATTATATATATATACGACTACTACATTTGGTGATTAAAATGGGTGAATATATCTTACTAGTATATTTGATGTTTTATCTCCTACTAGTGCATTATATATTCTGCTTTGGGTATGAGGTTCAGAGTGTGTTTTGTCTAGAACTAAATGAGTTTAATGTGAAGAATGGAAAAAGTTATATAGTTGGGATGTTTGAAAATGGTTATAGAGTTTAATGTGAAGAATGAAAATGGTTCTGGAATTTTCCATGATCTTCTTCAGTTTTGTTCTGTTTACCTGTACATTTGTTCTTTTGCATCACCTGCAGTTTTGTTCTTGAGTTGCAGCATTCGTCCTTGCTTTTACCTGCAGTTTCCGTAGTTGAGTCAATGATCTGCAGTTTCAACTGAAGCTTCTGCATAAGAATTGTTTGTTGATGGTTCGGTTAAATATATGGAATAGTAATTCATTGTTATTACAGCTAGGATGGCTCTTCTTTTAGGGCAACCGCTGCTTCAGCAATAGTATTTCATATGACTTGTTCGAGCCTTACAATTGAAATTATTGCAGCTTGATATTTAGGCATATGATATTTGGCACAGAGTTGGGCAATTAAATGCATAAGGACATATTTACTGCATGCATACATATGTTTTGCATAGATAATCATAAATTTTTTGTTGCTTTTTCCATTTAGGCGCACTCAGTTGGGAAGTTCAGATAAATTTGGAAGCGAAATAGGCAGGGAAATAATACTTTCAGGTTAATTTTTTGTTAATTTTTTGTTGTTTTTTCTATTTAGGTGCATTCAATTATCCTTTCGCTTTCAGGTTCTTGAAAGTATTATTTCCCTGTCTATTTCGCTTCTAAATTTATCTGAACTTTCCAACTGAATACACCTAAATGGAAAAAGCAACAAAAAATTTATGATTATCTATGTGACCAGAGGAAAATATGTTGAGATTTTCATATTTTATACTGTTTTTGATGATATTGCACTTTAAAGAAAGATATTTTTGATGTTTTGTTGCAGGAATGATGAATTAGGGTCATTGGAGCAAAAAAGATGCAAAAAAAAGCGAATTTGGAGCCAAAATAACCAAATGTGAGAAATTGAACTAGGGCGTCGACGACGAGATTTTCCCGAGACTCCAAAATTAATTCATTAAAAAGGTCCGCCGACGGCGAGCTCGGCCGTTATGACCAATCAGACTTTGGATAAGGACAAATTTTGAAAAGATGTTTAAGCAACTCTTGGAAAAGCTCATCTACAACTTTAAAAGAAGATTTTGGCCGAAAATGAAGAAGAATCTAGAGTTCCTGAAGATTAGAAAGGTTCCATTAGTGTTTGCTAGAGTGTAAAAATTATGAGGAATTCTTAGAGAGATTGTAAGAGTAGAGGGAAAGTGAGAGATTTCTTCCTCCTTGATGCTTCGAAGAGGAATTATGTGTGCTGTAAAGAAAAGAAGAGATATGTTATTTCAGCACCTGAGGGCTAACATCTACACTTCAGGAAAATTAGAGGATATTCCAAAACTGTTTAATATTAAAGAAAATTTACATATATACCATACAATTCTTGTGTATTTATATCTAGCATCTAAACTTTCATATTTACATTTATAACACTTTAGTGTCATGAAGTTATGCATGAAAAGATGCATTTTACTTTAAAAAAAGTAAGTTTAGCAATATTTTTAATGTAATGTTAAGGATTTGTGCTATGCATGTAAATATGAAAGTTAAGGTGTTAGATATGCAAATACAAAAGAATAAAGAATTGTGTGGTATGTATACAAAAGAATTGTGTGGTATGTGTAAATGCCCCTAATATATGCTCTAGAAATCATCGACTCCCTCGGTCGTCAGAGACAAAAGATCTGAAAACATAAAACCTCAACCTACTCGTGTGGGAAAAAGATTTACTTATTTCGAGAGGTGCGAACTATGCTAATGACCTCGTTGTTTCATGGTTAAACTTCCAAAAGAAAGAGACCACTCATTTAAGTTTGAGCGTGTATGTGAGCGAGAGAAGAAGAGCAAAACAATTACTTCGATATAAGAGGGATATTAGGTAAGCCATCAAGAAGTGAAAAGTATTAAAGTTCAGACAATTAGATAATAAAATAAAAACCAAATTTAGCAGTTCAACCTCAAACTTGAATGTGAAAAGAAAATCTACTCTCAGATACGAATTGGATAAGAGGACATTAAGAAGGCATATAATTTGCAGACTTCATTAAAGGCATTGCTGCCTAATGTCAATAAAAAATAAAAAAAACACTTGTGAGCATATAAGTCGTCACAAAAATTTCAAGCTATTTTGAGAATTTTGCAACTTTACCACTTCTACCTTCACAATCAAGCTTCTCTATCAATTAACATTATTCTTTAATCCGCCTGAATTGCATGGCACCCATCGCTGGAAGAAGCGTATCCTCCATTGTCTTCTTGAGTTTCTTTAACGATCAAAACTACTAACATTAAGCTCAATAACCAAAGCAAGTTCATTTGACAGAGAGGAGGCTCATTGACCATTCCCCAGTGCATGAAAACAATGCATGAGCCCTATTTCGCCATCTGGGCTAAAAGAAGGCATAGATTTAGGATGTCAAACTTCACAAATTCCCAACAGAGGTAGATCATGTAACGACCCGAATCGGGCTTGGAATTGACTAAGATAGGGATGGACAGTCGGTCAGTGGGAACTGAGTTCTTTATATTCATTTACTCATAATAGATTGTCCACGTTTTTTATAAATATTATCTCTTCTGTTACTCGTCTTTTAATTAATTAATTACACCTGAAAAGTTAGTTTAAAGTAATATTGAAAGATATTAAAATATTACATCAATATCTTCCGACACATAAAATTTTAAAATTACTTCTAAATTTATAATTAAGATGAACAATTATTTTCTTAATACAAAATGAATGTTCTATAAAAGGAACAATGAAATGTGCTGACATTTCAAAGTTCAACCTAAATCTTAGAAAAAATTAAATATAAAATTTAACATAAAAAAAATAAGTGATATAAACAAAATTAACCTCTATATCCTTGCAAAAGAAAAAAGATATTTGAAAGATTTCACAAATTAGATTGAGAGAAATGAAGCGGGTATCAGAGAAATTAATTTGGTTAATGTGGCGCAATTTCTGCTACAGGATTGGAAATCAGGCATATAGTCACGATTTCGTCCATTCTTAATTCCTTTTTTAATTATGCCTATTAGTATAAATTAATTTTAGTATTATTCTAATCTAAAATTTTCCCAAATTGTTAGGTTATTTGGTAGACTTTTTCCTACGACTTGATTACAAGTCTGGGGAGATGTTTGAATTTGTAAGCATATTTGTGTCGTCGAAAAGAGGTTCATAGTCCAGTACTTAGATTTGAAATAAACCTACTGTTTCCAGCCGTGATCTTGTTCCTTGTAAATGGTGCCAGGAGAGAGCTCAAATTTTGGAAAGAGTCCAATTGGGCACCTCCTAAATGCATAAAATTAAAGATTTTGAGGTATTCCAAAGTTCCCAAATTGTTGCTTTATATTTCTCTAATTTCAAACCAAACACAAAAAAAGTTGAAATGTAAGAAAATGAAATCCAATAGATCAGTAATGTTGCCAACCAAACAACCTGAATATGAGAAAAAATAAATGCAAGAATGACTAGATAAAACAGTCTTATACCCCTCTAATAGTGCTCATGCTTTATAATTACCAACTATAATAAATCCCAGCAGGCACTACATGACAAACATAGAAACTAACAGAAGAAACAAAAAAATAACTCGCAGTTTTATAAAATAATAAATGGTTTAGCTGATGGTAGTAGACTTATGTTGCATTTTCTAATGTGCTAATGGGCACACATTCAGTTAAGCTAAATCCAACAGAGAAACAATTGATCTTGTGGACCAGTGTTTGTGTTTAATTTTTATATATAAAGAATGCAAATTCAATTGAATTGTTTTGATGAAAAATAAATTAATAAAACAGATGCTTACCCCTTGTAAAGAGCCCCTGCGCCCTCTGTGAGAACTACCTGTAAGAATGTGGACTACGCGTGAAAAGCGGAAAGGAAAGGATGCCCCAAAACTGACATTAATATTTCGCTCGTCGAAGTTAATAAGTGACACAAAGTACACTATCTTCAAGCATAACTCTAGCTAGAAAATCGGAAGCAACACGAGTATAATATCAGTTGTCATTCATATTTATAAATTCTTTTATAACGCCATAATGGAGTAAAAATTCAGGATAAAGCTCAACGAAATTACTAATAACTCGATGAAAGTACATTGTACACCAATGCAGACAGAAGATAAAACCTAGCGATAGGATTCATGCATCTACACTCTACCAACCTTTTTTTTTCAAATAAAATAGCTATTATATTGTTGGCATAAAAAAAATGTCAGCATTATTTATGCTTTGAGGCTTGGGTTTGATCAGTCCAAGTTGCTTTGACACGGGAGTGCTTTGCTCTGGATGCGGGACGCAAGCCGAGCAGCTCACACGATTGCGGGAGACAAGGAGACGAGCCGAATCAATTCTGAATTGCATTTTTACTCTTTCTTTCCTATTATTCTTCATTAATTTTTATTCATTTCCTATATATGTGTTATATTAGTGTTTGGAAATCAGTTTTTCATGTGTTTAGTATCGAGACAACTGTCGGCATCTCTTCTTCCCTTCAAGGGATGTATCCCATGGTTTCATTTGTATCTTGGTCTCCAGGCAGTGTTTATCTTTTCCCAACTCCCCTGCATCCCTCTCACTTCACTGCCACACATTTCTCCTCTCTCACTTCACTGCCTCACATTTCTCCTCGCTGCAGGCCGCCTCAACGGCAACCCTTTTGTTCTTTTCCTGCAGTTTCCTCGTTGCCCCCACTGTACACCAAATCCCCCATCATTGTTCCAGCCCTCCGAATTCGTTGTCGCCGCTGTTCCATCCCTCACTCTTTGCTGCCATGACCCCGGACAGTCGTGCCACGTTGGTATCTGTCATGTAATTTTTGTATGTTACCCAGGGAGTCATTGTCTTGCTGTTTTCAGCTTGCCAACCACCTTGTCTACCATCTCACCACTTTCCAAACTCTCGTTGATCACCACCACCACACCGAGAGCCACCTTAGTTTGAGTTTTTGTGTCGTAATTGTTGCCATTTCAAATTTTTTGTGTTACGTTGTTGTAGTTTCCCTTTCAAGTGGGTTGTAACCGCATATTTGTTTTCAGTAATAATATTTATTTTTCCTTTTGTCGTTTGAGTTAACTTCGGTATTATTTGGTATTAGACCTAGCCCAACCCTAATCATTTCATAAGGTTTCGAGCATCCATCCATAACCAACCCTACCTCTACCACATTTTTTTCCTTTTCACCCTACATCATCCCTATACACCCACATCCACCTATGCAAACCCAAAATCCAACCATACACCAAAGAAACAATTGCTAAAGAGCTATTCGGGAGGAAATGCCACAATGTTCGTTCATGAGTAATCCACAAAGAGATGTCTGGAAACTTTCAATAAATGATGTACAGCGAAAAACCCTCCAACTACAATAGAGGTTTATTATCTTCGAGAAGAGGCAACCCAGACAGGTCATCCTATACGAAGCGCTGATACAGACCGTTTGGCGATTAAGTGCCATGTTTGGGCGCCTAAGCGCCCGATGCGGATAATATACAAAAATTTGATTTTTTAAGCTAATGTTGAGCAGGTTTCTTCAGATTTGTTGTTTCTTTCTTCTGAATTCTTCAATGTGCATCCCGGTGAAGGTGTGGAGCGTTGAAGAGGTGGATTTTGGTGATTCGGCATGATTTTTGCGTAAGATTAGAGAGGGAAGACTGTTGGTGCAAGTCCTATAAATTTCTGTGTGAGTGTGGAAAAGAAATTTACATGAGTCATTTGTAAAACTATCTAAATTACTTAGTGAAATTTGTGATGTGGTTTCGTGATTTTTTCCCGTTTTCGGGTTTTTTCATGTAAAATTCTTGTGTAATTTTCTGATTGTTTTGATTGTGCTTTCTTAAATTTTTTTGTTCCAGTTTTCTTAAATCTTGTGATTCTATTCCGAAGTGAAATTAGAAGTTGCTCTTTCGGAGTCATTGCCTTAACAGTTTAGAAGTCAATCTTTCATGTGTTTTGTATCGAGTCGTGTATGTTGCTATTTTAGTTTTCGGTTGTTGTGTTGTTGTATTTCTCTTTCAAGTGAGTTGGTTAAAACTGCCTAATTGCTATCAATAATAATATTTACTTTTCCAATTGTAGTTTGGGTTGACTTCAATATCATGCCCTTTAAGCTGATTGGGCTTGTCATCCTCAAACTCAAGCATTTGACCATGAATCAGGTCATTGTTCCTTGCTTAATATTTTCTCATACATCTAGAGATGTTTCGTGCACTTCTCATCAATTTAAATTCAATATTTAGTTCTTAAGTCATCCAAAGGTTTTTCTCTAGCTTAATCTTACCAAAATCCTATATCAGTCGTTAGCTTAAACTGGCCTAAGACATCTTAGGATGATTATATAATCCTTCTAAACTTAACAAAGATCTTAAGAGGGAACTCTTTGATCATTCAATTTCAAATCATATCAATCATTCTATTAATAGGATTGACACTAATCAACTTTAGGGTAGTTCTCTTTCATGTTTAACTTTAATCAGTCCTAATGGACTTAATTGATAGTGTAAGCATTCCATCGGTCCCTCATTGATTAAGTCATACGTATGTGCATTATAATTGATTATGAGATCTGTTGAGCTTGATCTGCGAACCTAGATTTAACTTACTATCAAGTAAGACAATACATTTTGGACCTAAACACCTTTTAGATTACTAAGCCATAAATTAATTGACCACTGTGAACCATTGAAATATGCTAGATTATTTTGAACCCTAACATGACCCGCTATGACCCAATCAGGTCAATCTAACGCTAATAATATAATTGAACAAATTGTCTCTGACAAACCCATTTAATTGGTCTCAATATATTCGAGGTCAGCTAATAAAGCAAGATAAACCTTTAGTTTAACTTGATTGGAACCCATTAAACAGATTAACCCAAATAGAGATTTGACCCTGTAATATCAACCCATCAAATTGATCAAATTGATTGTTATTAATGCCTTAGAAAGCTTCCAAAAAGTTAATTTAACTAATTTAACAAATTTAACCAAATAGAGCCCAGCCAGTCTTTAGAAACTCTTTTAATATTTAATCATATAAGAATTGAGTTTAACTGACCCTTGATCAAGTCAAATTCAAATGAAGCTTTTATACCAAAATGACAAATTTAATCAAATTGATTATAATCAATGCCTTCAATTGACTTGAGTGAACTCTCTATAGATGGTTTAAGCTCAATTGCCCATCGGTTAGATAACTTGACCCCAATTGACCCAACTTAATCAAATAGACCCTATATGAAATCACTTGACCATTTTAATTAAATTGATATCAATTGATCAAATCTTTGGGACCAATCAACTAGGATATGTTTATCAATCTCCAATTGAGCTCAAATAACCTTTGATTTGACCAAATTAATCCGAATAAACCATGCAATCTAAAGTGAACCCATGCACTTAAGTGTTTAAATCTTTTTAAACCTATTAAACCAATTTGACCAAAGTGGCTTCATTGGTCAAAGTGAACCCTCCTTAAAATGTCCCTAAGTAGTTCATACACATTTTGACCCTTAAGAACCATTGACCATAGCTAAAAGGCAGACAGTAAAAGAGTTTACAAATGAGGAAAACTGAAAAGTCAATTACCATAACAGCCAAACAAAAGAAGATAAATGAATTAGATCAGCTTGATGACAAAATTTTGCATCAGCATGCTTGATAGTTTAATACCTGGTATGCACAGTGAAACACATTTCTGTAGCTCCTAACATCTCTGGAATCTTGCTGCAACATTAGGCGAGTTTTGATCATGTCCACTGGCGCAGTTACTAGTGTTCCAACAGTTCCTGCTACAGAACTTGAGCTTCATGCAGCACAGATATGCGTTAGTAATTCCCTTGGGACTGATTTCTTTTGAACAATCAAAATAAAGAATGAAAAAGAGCCCCTGTACATGAGATGTAAATGAAAACCTTCCTCAAGATGCGTCCACCTAAGCAAGGCCTGAAACAGAAAAAGTAACAGAGATATAGATTTTCTGATCATGCAGAACAATGAAAATCATAATCTATTCAAACGTCCTCAAGTGATGTTTATTTGAGGCAGGCCAATAATGTCAAGTACAAAACCTGCTTTGACTCATCATATGTTGCCAACTGTGAGGCAGTTAAAGCACTAGCCCTTGTCATTGCAGGGCCAACTCCTTTCCAGAGCGCCCGGAAACCCTCCTCTGATACAATTTTATGCATCTCTCCAGTAGGACCCCTTCCGGAGTTCATCTGCAGCCTAACCTATACATGAAAAATCACTTTAAAACTAACCAATAAAGATTATAAGCTTGCAACCATGCAGAATAATACCTTCAGAACTTCCATTGGATTAGTCAACGCAGTTGCAAGTGCCCCAGAAAAAGCTCCCGAAGCAATCTTAACGAATATATTAGTTGAACCAAACATTAAGTTGCAAAGAGATTTAGAAGGCTCATATAAACCCAAACGCAGACCACCATAAAGAGCAGACCTAGCAAGTGCAGGCGCCAATCCAAGATACAGGCCTCTAGCCCCTTCAACTTTCATAATTCTCCCAAAAACTTCACCCTGCAAGTTTTATTATGATCAAACCCATGTCAATATAGAGACCAAAGAGAAAGTGAATCGCATTCGTAAAACAGGCTTATGGCCGTCAGATACCATCCCCAACAAAGGACCTCTTTGACCAAGAAGCTGCATCTGGAGCCTAACTTTGACAACATCTGCATTCCCAATTTAGATCTTTCAAAAACTGAATACAGAAGATTCTCACAATCAACAGAATCATATTTCCCAATATAGTTATGAATCATGTAACAAAACATGGAAACCGGCTAGAATGGTTACTAGGATCAGATTTACAGCAGTAGACGGTGCAACAATTTCAAGATCATCAAATAGATAGTGAGAACCTAAAGGATGGGTGAACGCGGTCGCAACGGCTACAGCTCCTCCGCTCGTGGAGAAATGGTATAGAGCATAAGGCAGCGATATACCCCACGCTTTCTCCTTATCGTCTTCGCTTTCCATGAAACCGGAGTATCTCGAAATCAAAACGAATGGATGACCTGCAGCTAGTGCTCGAACCGTAGCTTTTATGAAGAGAGAAGGAAACTACCGGCGGGCTCCGACGATGGCTTGTTACCTCCGACGTACTGGATCGAAATTCATACTTCTAAAGTTAAAAGTTATAACAAAATGACACATGCCAGAATAATAATTTAAAGATAAATAATAAGAAATTATTAGATGTAAATATAAAATATCTTTTTTTAAAATTTTTAATAATTTAAAGATAAAATATTAATTTTTCTTTAATTTTTATTATTAAAATTTAATTTTTATGATTAAATTCGCACCAAATTAAAAGAATATATATTATGTTTCTAATTAATGTATTTTGTAAAAATAATTCTTCAAATCCATTAATTTAATTTATTAATAACCCACCAAAGTTGTGGAATGATATACATATGAAATTTAATATTAAAAATAAAAATTAATTCAGAATATTTAAACATTTTTTTGATGGTTGCAATCTTTAAAAATTAATGAATTTATTTAAAATAAGTATAATAAAAACATTAATTAATTCATTTTATATTGTAATCATGTTAAAATAAATCAATGATTTTAAGATCCAATCTAAATAAAATTTAATTAGAATACTGGGATCGATTTTTTATTTTAATCTAATGACGGATGCGCATAAAATTTGGCCAAATAGGTTGCCAACGACGGAAAAATTAAAATAAAAAAATATCGGTTGATATTTTACTGATACACTTACAATATAGATAGTGATACCCACCAACAAATCTCCATCATCTGACATAAATCTCGAGGTAAGACACAAATTTTGAAGCAACCTTTTGAGCAATAAATATTCACTATGATTAAAAGTCATCCAATCCTTCGATTTCAACGAACTTATAGGGTCTGTTTGGGGCAGCTGCAGCTGCGCTGTCGCAGGAAGCTGTTGTAGGGAAGCTGTTGCGGGAAAGCTGACTGTTTGTTTGTTGCAGCTATGTGAAAATAGCTGTGGACAGCTGTTTCTAGAAAAATGATTATTCTACCCCTATTTAATAAAATTCTTTAAAATAAAATTGTGACAGTCACATATTTGATACTTCAGAAGCAGAAATTCATTTCAAAATAGAAGAAAATTTCAGATACACAATTTACTTTATTAACATTACAAGTAAAATAATCATTCTAACTCATTCTCATTTTATAGATGTATTATTTTATTATTAAATTTCATAAAATACAAAAGAAAGTGACTTCCAAGCCTCACAAGTTAAACTCACTTCTCCCATGTATGTAGTTGGTTACCAAAAAAAAAAAAGGTAGGAACAGTTTCAGTGACTTTTAGCGAATCAAATACTTGTCATTGTTCTAGTTACTTCCAAACACTTACCTTAACCCAAATCAGTCCTAAATAAACAAATTTCAGGAAGATTACATATTGATTCCTAAGCACCCACTGATTAGAGAATTGAATTTGACAACAATAGAGCCCAAGTAAAATCTAAACTTTCAATAAAATAAAAGATTCAGCAGGACAAAAATGGACAGGGGCAAATTTAAAGGGAAACACTCACCTTATTGAGGTAATAAAGGGAGCAGTCGACAATGTTTAGCTGGAAGAAAGTCGACCCGGCAACCCTAGATACATGACGGGAGGCAAGTAGCCGTTGGGATTACCGCTGCCATTGCAACGACGGGGATTAAGGTTTTTATCGATAGGCTAGAGCTCGTGGTAGGCTAGAGGAGAACGGAAATGATCAACGGCGGCTTCGAACGCCGCAGGGAGGGAACCGCAGGGAGGGAGGATCGCGTGGAAGGGAGGACAGGGAAGGAGTTGTGTGATGGAATCGACCGCGACAATGGAGCGATAGGGCGGGAGGAACGTGAGAGCTTCGATGTCCAACAGAGGAATTTTGGTTGGGGTATCATGCGTAATAATCCATCGTCGATCGCAGGCCGTGGGGACCGATCTGCGGCCGGCTTTCCGCCAAAATGGCGTCCCACGGTGTCCTGTCGTGCTCGAGACGTCGAACCAAACACCAGCATGTCGCGGCCCGCCAGCGTGACGCGCTCACCCCGCTGTCCCAAACGGACCCATAGTCAAACTGACATGCTCGACGAGACGGACCCAAGAGTACCAACATTAATCCGATTTGAACTAAATTGAGCCTCAATCAAGTCATTAAATCACATGTGAAAGCTTTCTGGACAGAATTGGAAGATCAAATGGATGTAGAATCTGGCGAGTTTATCATCGAATTGAGCGTCTCAACAAGACGAATCTAATGAGTCTAAGCTCGCATAATTCTGACATCGTTAAGATACTCAAATGTCCATCAAACGATAACTGATCAGAGGAAGCTCTCCGGACCATCCGATCAAAGTGGATCATACTTATGCAATAATTGCACCCAAAACACCATAAATAGAGGATCACCATCATTAAATGTTATCGATCATCACTCACCTCCATTGACCACCACCGTCGACCGTCGTCGACTTTCGCTGATCTGCATTGACCATCGTCAACCGTCGTCAACCACCACTGACTTCATCGACCACCGTCGACTGTCGTTGACCACGGTCGACTGTCATTGATCACTGTCAAACTTCATCGACCACTGTCGAATGTCGTTGATCACCACCAACCATCGTTGACCACCACCGACGGACGCTACCAATCGTCATTGGTCGTCGCTCGTTCTTAAGGACAAATTTATCAGCACATCGACATTGTAACATGAGAAATCTAGTAAATATTTACCGTCTTTGGGTCAAGTGGTTGCAATTATAATCATCTTTTCATAATGAAACTCTTCAGTTTGGCGAGACCCGATGGTTTTTCACTTTTCAGGTTTTCCATGTAAAAACTTTTAGTATCATTATCAATTATTTTCTCTATTCTGAGTGTGTGTTGAATTTTCGTACCACGTTAAGATGATGATGTACTACTCAACTGCCACGAATTTTCTAGCATGCATCAAATGGAAAAACTAATACAAATGGGATCATTGGTACATTTAGTAATACTTATCATTTGATATAGTGTTGAACCAACAAGTTTTTAATAAGACATGACTTTAAAAAAGATATTAAAATAAAACAACAAGAATCATTTACCCCCACTAAGTGTGGTCCACTACAAAAATTATTTTTCTCCATTACTTCCTATTGAGTGTCATATTTTATTTAGTTGTACTAGATTAAGACTATTTTTATGCAATATGTTTAAGTCTTTTTAGGTCTACCTCTACCTTTCTTACATAAGTCATCTAAAACATCTATTCACCTAACAGGATCATCAGATGGTCGACGTTTAAGGTGACCAAACCATCTAAAATGACTCTCTCTAAACTTGTTCGCTATTGAAGCTATACCAACCCTATCACGAACATATTCATTTCGCATTTTACCTCTGTGTCAAACCACTCATCCGTCTAAGCATTCTCATCTCAGCAACACTCAATTTTATTTTATGCTTCTCTTTTAAAGGCCAACATTCTGCACCATAAAGTATTGCCGGCCTCACCTCCATCTTATAATTTTTTTCTTTCAATCTAAGAGGTACAACTCTATGACACAATAAACTCGATGCAATCCTCCATTTCAACCAACCAACTCGAATTCTACTAATAACATCCCCATCTTTATCACCATAAATTTGAACAATAAACCTGAGATGTATAAATCGTTCGCCCCTTTCAATAATTTGATCACCCGTAGTTACATCTCTATCACAAGAGCTACTTCTACTAAAATTATAATCCATTCATTCAGTATTAGATCTACTCAAAACGAAGGTCATTAGACTCCAATATAAACCCCCATAACTCAAGCAACATTTATAAATAAATACATATTGGCATCTAACTCCATATAAAATATCATTCAATATTTTCAAGAAAAATTTAAATTAAATAAATACAAATGTCATCAACCATCGATTATAAGGTCTATTAAGAATAATATTCTGAACTTGGTTTTGCACAATACAAGAATATATTAACATTTTTGGGCATCAATAATTCATAATTAATTTTAAAACATGCTTGAATTTTAATAAATCTAATACAACAAAATTTGACTGTCAAATTAACTGATTCTAGTAATTAATTAAGAGAAACTATAACAATTATAACAGTATATGCTATAGAATTTATATTATAAAATCTAATATATTATATTGCACTTGCATACCTACCAAGCAATTCTTCTTTATCAACATAATGTAATACTTATTTTTTCATATTTAGGTACAAAATATTTCAATCATCGATATCACATCAAATACATCACTTTTATTAAATTTTTAATTTTGGATTATAAATACGTAAATAATTGTTGGTAGACAACAATGCCAACCAAGCAATAATATACAATCAATGTGATCACTAGTACTGAAAAGTAGGGGTTTGTTAGAATTTGGAGTGTATTGGATGTCAAACGTTGCTAACCAATAACCATCAAATGAACATTGATGAGAAACTTAATATGTATCCTGGTCGCAGCTCATGTTCGGCTCGTTTAAAAATATGATTGTTTATGTTTGGTTCATTTATATTACGAACACAAGAAATGTGTGTGTTTGGCTAGTTTGTTTAGCAAGCCAAACACGAGTTGTTCGCGAACAAGAAGTCATTTTAACAACCTTAATAGTGCAGCCGCAGCATGTTAAAGGTTTGGGCAAGATTCAAATGCTATTGTTTATATTAAAACATCATTTAAATATAATATAATATATTTTTATTCTATTTTTTAATTAATAATTTTAATTGATTGTAAATATTTAATATTTTTAAAAATACTACTCGTCAGTATATATAATTAATGAGCAGTATTTCAAGCCAAAATGAGCCGAACACGAACGAACAATTTTTTATTCATGTTGGGCTCATTTATATATTGAGCACAAACAAGTGTCGTGTTCGGCTCGTTAACTTAACAAATAAATCGAACACGAGCTTCTTAAAGAGCCAAACACAAGATGTTTGCGAACAACGATCCATTTTGACAGCCCTAATGGTGAACAATCAATTTAATAATTATATTAATAAGAGGGGAGATCAAGAGGCCCAAAATATGGACATCAAATGACAGAGGTTGATGCATATTAACCATTGGCATTGAACATGTCAAGTAACAACTATATTAGACCACTGGCCATGATAGGAGATCAACTTGACCAATCAATTAACAACCATGGGCCAATGTACAATAAAGGGAGTGCATTGCTCAGTCATCTATCATAACCTATAATGAAAATGAGGGAATGCAAAAAAGGCCGGAACAGTGGAGGTGGGTGCACGACAGGCAGGAGCCCTATACCATTTTAACATTTTTATTTAAAATAAGCATATATATATGAAATTT